ATGGTGGGATTACAGGCATGAGCCACCTTGCCCAGCCCTCACTGCCAGTTTTTATAAATAAAGTTTTATAGGAACACAGCCATACCTATTTGTTTGCCTACTATGTATGGCTGTTTTTGCATGACACTGGCAGAGTTGAAAATTTTTAACACAGACCACCATAGGCCTAATATATTTGTTATCCGCTATTTACATTAAAAGTTTGCTGACCCCTGTGCTAGAATATAATTTAAGATTGATTTTTAAATGCTAAAAGAAATGAGGTCTGGTTTGCCAACTATCATTTATTACTGACAAGATTTTGGGTTTAATTTGACATTTAATTTTTTTAAATTTCCACCAGAAAGATAAGATTGGATGTGAAGAATACAGAAGAAAAGTGTAAAACAGCTTCAAACATCCAGATTTTCTTTCTGGAACCTTCATTTATGGATAATATAGACATTTAAACATTTCATCTACAGGCATGTGTCTTTGTATGTCAAAAACCTATCATCTGAAAATATAAATATAATGATTATCAACTCTTTTAAAAGAGGTATCCAAAAGAAAGAATGTGAGAGCTGAGTGTGTTATTAGTAATGAAACTGCTGGAACATGTTTTAGGAAAACATTTTTTCCTAACACCTAAATGTCTTCAAAAACATGTGCCAAGAATTCATCATAGCAGCAGAAAACACACCCAAAATATTGAGCTTGGTTTATAAGGCCACCTCCCTCACCATCATTTTTTCCTTTAAACTTAGTTTATTTTCTTTCAATTGCCAGTTCACATTTCTCTGGTTTTATATCTCAGAATACATGACCTTCACCATCCCTTGAACTGCTTCATTCAGTCTTTAGCTCCCAGACACAAACAAGATCTGGGATCAGGTTTTCTTTTGCACTTCCCTGCCCAGCAGTTTCATTCTTTCACCTGAAGATGAACTATTTTGCAAGCTTTCTGACTTTCTCATATAAGGAAGTTCCTTCCACCCAGCTTTAATAACACAGTATCAACAACTCACACAGAAGTTTCTCATAGTCCCACATGTAGCATTTTCATCATTCTGCAGACTGCAAAGTGGCGTGTGGAGAGGGAGGAGTTTTAGCATATGAGTCTTCCCGAGTTGAGACTTGCCCACTGGCTGCCTCCAGTGTACTTCTTCTGCTGAATGTTTGCAGTCACAGAGAGAACTTAGAGTGTGTGACACTCTAAGGGGAAGCCAAAGAGCCTTAACAACTGTCTTGTTTTTGTTATTGCCATTTCATAAATTATTACTGGGTGTTTAATTTCATTGGATATTCTTTTTTTTTTCAATTGTCTTTGTACCTATGATTGAAAACGGTAGTTGCTCTATGACTTTTGAGGAGGTAAGTTTTTTATCTGTGTGTGTCTATGATACTGATGTCTGTCTCTTTGAAAAATGCAGTATCCTCCTCCCAAAAGTTACTAACCAAACTTTCCCAGCTGTACATTCTTTATGCAAGAGGGGAGAGAACTAATGAGGACAGTTGTCTGCTGTTTGTTCAAATGGTGTGAATTGTGTGAGATGGAGTATGTCTCAGCCAGTGTGATACGAGTTTTAAGGGTTGTGTAAGCAGCGTCTCTTGTAATCTTTTCTGAAAGACAGGAGAAAAGCAATTTGCTGCCTTGTCCAGAAGCTCTGAGCACTCAGCACACCTGCTCGTACAAACTCATAGCATGTGAGTGTCTCTGGGCTGACTGAGGTTACCAGGGCTGCCTTTAAGTCAGCCTCCTATGGGTAGCCTTTGTCAACATTTCAAAATTAATCAAGCATGGCTACTAACTTTCCCAAGTCCATCCAAACTAAACTCTCTTCTCCATTCTATTGCAAAGACAAACTTTTTCTTGAAGCTATTTTCAGGACTGAAAATAGTTTAGGCTCCTTGGGAAAGCCTGGAAAAGACAACCAAAGTAATGTCATCTGTGTAACCCTCCATGTAAGTGTGGACAAGTTCTTCTTCATAGAAAATCTCCATCTCGGTAGCAGTGTTTGAGTGTAGTGTTCAGTAGCACCGGAGGACACCCTGCCACCATCTCAGGTTCATACTTCGGAGGACGATACTGCATTTTTGGCCCCGTAGCTTGCTTTCCCACTTGTCTGTGAGTGCAGAGCAGGAGTCTGACACTTCCCACTGTGTTGCTTGCTTTGCAGACACTGAATTGAAAGCTTCATTGCTTAAGCAAAAGCCAGTAGGTGTGCCTCCTAGGCTATTTTGCTTGGTAGGGACTGGCACTCAATTTCTCCCAAGTCTTTCTCCAAGATTGTCCCTACCCCATTAGCTAAGTGTCTGTGAGGAGGGTTCAAGTTGCAACAGCCATTGTCATGAGAAGTTACCAGTCAGAATTTCAGCTGAGTTCACATCTCTCTCTTATATAATACATGATCATTAGACTCTTATCTCTAATCAATGGTGTAGTAGCTACCTGGTATGTTTTTTTAAATACTTGAACAAAGTACTTTTCCACAACAGCCTGTGACTTTACCTGGAGGGTTTTTTTTTTTTTTTTTTAACTCAATTCTGCGCAAATAACTGTAACCTGAAAAACTGGTAGCTGGAGCACTTTACTTGTGCCAAGTTAATGCCATGTAAATAATAGTTGAGGGAGATTTTTGTACTTTGAAATTCTACAAGTACAATTTGAGTAGAAGTAGGGCATCTAACTCAGGAATAGGTAGTGAAGTAGTCTTATCTTAGTCTCTTGAAGGGATTTGTCAAGAAATGAGAACAGTCTCTTCCCCTGCCTCAGCCGTCTGCATTGTGAAATACGTTGTGTTGAAATCGTGCTGGGTATTGCTCCTCTTTCCCTCTTTCCTGCCTAGAAGGAAATTTATTGAAAAAGTTTCTCAAACTTTTTTTTTAAATCTAAGTTTTCTGTAAGTATATAAGTTGTTTCCACAAAGGGGAGTCGTAGTTATGTTAGAAATAAAGACTAACTCTCTAGCACATGCTAGAAATTGGGTTACTTCAACTGTAGATGTGCCCTGGCTTTTTAAAAATATATTTTTTTAGCTTCTACGTTTATCACACTTCTGTGGGAGAGTAGAACTTCTGTAGATTGAGGGAACAGACAGAATTTGCTGAGTACAAGTTGCCCCTGTTAAGTATGAATATTATCAGGAATATCTGGGAAAAGGGCTCCTGGCAAGGCCGTACTCCGGGGGTTACATTATGTCTTGGTTACAGGGAACAGATAGTGTGGTTTCATGTAGAAAGTGACCTTCTGACAGTAGCAGGCTTTAAAAATTGTCTCATTTTGGCATTTATCCTTCCAGTGGAATTGAAATTTCAAATTACTTTTAAAAAGCTTAAGAATCCTATTGCAAATGTATCATATAAATTCGTTTTAGGAAACTTGAAAACCTTTTTTAAAAGGACAAGGAAAACAATAAAAATCATCTACTAACCACAGTTAATATCTGTTATTCATGTTGTTATAAAAATGGGACTTCCCAGGTATTTGTCTTTTTTTCCTACAAGGTAACATAAGCATTTGCTCTGTTATTAAATATTTTTCTCCCGTATTTTAACACTAAGTGGAATGTTATTGTGAATTTATTTACCAGTATTTAAGTTTGTTTTTATCTTTTGAAGCATATATCTTTTTCAAGAATGGTTTAACATTCCTCTGCTTTTTTTAAAAGACTGCTTTTTATCACAGTCTGCTTTTTCCAGAAGAAAGGACAGATATGGGCCCTGGTGGCTGGTTATAATCAAAGGGCAGGTTTGTCCTTTAACTTCTCTAATGGCCTTCCCTGTGTAGGGATCTTCTGCCTCCTGGAAAGTCTCAGACTTTACCTTTACCATCTGTTCCTTAGCCTTTCTTCAAAACAAAATAGAAATGAGATTTGCTTCTTTCTATATAACAGTGTCAGCTTGTTCTGTAGATAGTAAACTTAACCTCACCTTACCAGGTATGCTATGTATAATACACTATTTTCCAAAACATGTGTTTGTCTTCTGGTTTTGTATCAGTGTTTTATCTGAGTTTTTGCCACCGTTGCAGAAAAGACTGTTAGGACTGCAAATCTGAAAAACAGGAAGGTCTCAGCACATTGAAGTCTTTCCTGTCAGCTCTCTTTTGAATCTCCTGTAACTGCTAACAGTAGCATAGAAGGCACTTTTGGTACTTTGCAATGGAATTGCTATTCTAAGAATACAGGTGTACATACCGAATTCATAATGGCTAGTTAAGGGGGAGGCCTTGCTTTATAAGGATTAATGACTTGGCTCTGTCATTATATAATATTGTTTCAGATTTTTCCAGGGAGTTCAACGGGGACAAAAGCTCAGTAACTTATTTTACTAGGAATCCTTTAATCTGAAGTTTTAAAAAATCAAAACATTTAGAGACCTTATCACAAGGACTGTTGTTCTCCCTAACAGAAAAAATAGGTGTTCTGAAAGATAAATGTATTCTTTACTCAGAGAATAAAAATGTCAGTAGATAGCAAAGTCATAAATCCATGTATCTTGATTCTTAATTTAGTGCTCTTAAATATACTCAATTAATTTGAGCCCTGGTCTTGGCAAAACAATTCAAAGAAATGTCTAATGATTTTTCCCTATTGCATTCCTACCGTGTCTTGCGGTTTCTCTTGAGGTCAAGGGTGGGACTGCTGTACATGTGTCAAAGTATCGCCTTTGTCTTACCTTCCAGGTCTATATCTAGTAGGTATAAGTTCACAGGACTGGGGGTATGTTTGGAAGTCTTGGTCTTCGTGGCACATTTTTTATAACGACGTCCCATCTGAAGGTTTAAGGGACAGTTGTAAGTTTCACTGGGTAGAGTGCTGCACCTGCACCGCTAGCTAAACTCACTGTTGTTTCCCAGACAGCAATCCTGCCTTCCTGCGCCACCTACGCCTTCCCCTTTTTACACCTTCAAAGTTCACTTTGCTGTTGTTGTTTGTTTTTCCTCACCAGTTCCCTTCACTTTTGCTCTAAGTTCAACTGCTAATGACCATCCTCTGGCTGTTGCTCTTTTCCTGCAGAGGGAGAACCGAAGATTACAGGAGGCCAGCATGAGGTTGGAACAAGAGAATGATGACCTCGCCCATGAACTAGTAACCAGCAAAATTGCTCTACGGAATGATCTGGATCAGGTAAACCTGTCATTCATTAGGTAGGAATGAGACTGTGACAACTTCCTCTGGGACAAGAACCCAAGTGCTCCCACTGTGGTTCCCTCTCCCCCTCCCCTCCAGGCTTGCTTTGCTCTTGAGGTGAGTGAGCTGCTTGATTAGATGAATGAATAGTGGCCAGTGGGTTTGCTTATCCTAATTGGAGAGAGTGGGAAATGCAAGCCTTTGAGAAGAGCGTGGATCATTCTCACATAGCATGTACGACTTACCTATATCAGTACTTTTCCTCTACTAAGGGCAGCCAGCATAGTTACTTGAAAACATCAGTCACCAAGAGTACATTTTGCTGACAGCACTCCAACCTTAGGAGGCACCTTACTTTTTGTTCCAGGAAGAAATCTATAATAAACGTGAAGTTTCATATGGAATATAAATATACATTAAGAGTTGGATTGTTGCAATGCAAGGCATCATAGTGGCTAAGAGCAAGACTGGCTGGTGTGCATCTCGGCACTGACACTTATGAACCACATGATCCTGGGCAGTTCTTAACATGTCTACAGGAAGAAAAATATGCCTGCCTCGTAGGGATGACATAAGAATTAAATAAGGTGAAGCACTTCCGAAGGATGTGTTCAGTCAATGCTAGCTGTGGCTAGGGAGACCTTAAATTGGCTAACGTTCCTGTTCTTTCCAACAGTGCTGACAGTCTTAGGACCTCCTGTTTTCTGTTGCTGGCTTTTTCAGAGATAATTGGCAGCACGGAAGCAGTCTTGTGCGGATTTAAAATTGCCACTCTATTTTCTGACTCCTAAAAAGGAACTACTCCCAACAGATGGTGCAGGGTCAGAAAAATTTAGACTCAGGCTGTCAAGCCTGTAAAAAAAGAGTCATTACCTGTGGTGTAACTATACACTGACAATATTTAAAATATAAATCCAGTAATAATATAAATCTGCATAAATGTTTAAAATTGAAGGATGGCACAAAATGCTCCCTTTTACCCATATAAACAGCTAATTTTGCAGCTCAAAATTTTAACCACAGTAAGAAGGAAGATAAGACCTGTTTAGGAAAATAATGCTACCAGGGTCAGGAGGAAACTGAGCGAGTCAGCACTAAATGGAGTTTGGAAAAAAACCTAAAACTGCTACTTGGGACAAAGGATATATAGAAGGTAGAAAAAGCAGCCCAGAAAATGAATGATTTTTTTTTTTTAAAGTTGTGGCCCTTTTAGCCACAAACTCCACTCGGCCAGCCCACTTGGAAGTTATTGGATGTGGGATGGGAAATGTGTGAATAAGACAGTCAGAACCAATGAAGACAGAGGGATTCCCATTCAGGCAGAACCACACTTAGCCTGCTGCACTATGTAATGAATGTATTAATGCAGTCACTGTGCTCAGTCAGCACTGTAGCTAGTGTTAGTTCATATTAGCTTTCTGCTGCCACTTGACTCACACTTAATCCTGCCATTTTGAATCTTTTGTCCATTAATAATGTTCTTGAACTGGCCAACTAAACGAGGACATTTTCAACCAGTTTGACTCAGTGCGGATGCAGTAAAATGAACTAAGGAGAATGAGAGGAATGTAGTCGGTAGTATTTATTAAACCTTTGAGAGGTTTACGCAAATAACAAAATTGAGTTTTTACTGAGTACCATGTGCCAAGCACAAAAAATAGCAATTTATCAGCATTATCTCATTTCTTCTCCTTAATGACTCCAGGAAGCAAGTATTATTTCAGTTCCTCATTTTATAAATGAAGAAACTGATGCATATATACTTTTATGTTACATATAAACCCCATTAAAATGCTTTTCAATAAATAAAAGGCAGCATCTTAGTAGATACAAGGAATTAGATTGGCATCGTTAAGGCCAAAGATATGAAGTAAACATTGCTACCTCATCTCCAGCCCTCACCTCTGACAGGCTGATGAACACGAATTAGACCATCAGTGAGTCTTGCTGGTTCTGAGGTGCTGAAGGGATTTCCCCCGTACTTATTATAAATATATTCTGTGAATATAAATATAAATATAAAACCAATCTTTAGTAGGCTTTAAGATGGCAATGTATCATCTTTGTGAAAGGTTGGACATTACAAATCAAGTTCAGTCATTTCTTTAGAACGGGAAAATAATAGTGATTCCAACTACTGAATTGGAATCACTATCAAAATATAAAAAACTGATCATATTTATTTAACCACAATCCAGTCTTAGTCAAATCAAGACTATCCAACAAAAATATTCTGCCAACTCATTCATGATCTGAATGCTGATATATGAGATCAGTTAAATTATGGTACACATAAAAAAGTCCTGAGACATTCCTGTTTTTAATAAATAAGGCAGGGGCCATCACTGCTCATTAGTAACTCTTTTGAGATAAGCTATCAAGTCTGCCCTTTCTGCCTTTTATTTTATGCCAGTGAAGGTCATTTTTGTTCCAGGGGTGTACTTCTTGACATTCTCCAAATATTCCGTCAGAGTATCCTTTCCCCAGGCAATTCATTTGTCGTTATTGCATCTGTGTAAGAGAATCCAGCAGCTGACCTGTCTTCCACCCAAAGAGAGTGTGGAGATTTGCGCCAGTCTTGTTTGTTTCCCTTTTCCAAGGTGTGGCACTGAGCACATTTCTGAACAAAACTCTTCTTGCCTTTCTCAACATCACCCATATTTAATTCTCTCTTTGGTTGCTGATGGTACGAAGGTTTCATGCTTACAAGCTAGATGCCCCACTCTCTCCATATAGTGGAACCTCTGTAAGTTGACCACAAACTGGTCCACATGCGAGGTGGTCAACATCAGGAACTAGGCCTAGTGTACTGATATGTACATGTGCATGTACTGATCGGTGCATGTCCGATCTGTGAAAATTCGGTGAACTTAAGGAGGTGGTCAATGTAGGGACGTGGTCAGATAAGGAGGTTCTACTGTACATCAAAATGTTACTACTGGGAATCTCCAGATGGTAAGATTTAAGTCCAATTCTTATATTAATCTTTATATTTCTGTTCCAATTTATAGAAAGACCTTAAATTACTTAAGCACCCTTGGTTAAGTAAAAATGAGCATTATAGGTTTTAATAATTAGAAAAATAAAGTACATTATAATATGCATTTTACATATATGAATATAATATTAAATAATATGCCTAACTTTAATAATCAGAAAAATATTATTTTAAGAATAGTTTCGGCTCGGC